CAGCACCACCAAACCTGAGTATCTATGCTTGTCTTCCACCTCTGCCCAACAGTACCAAGCACAGGTTGTGGCACAGGTGAAGTCTTCAAAAAGAGAGGTCACAGGACCATGAGCTGAAGCTACATGTGATAACTTTCTCAATCCACGTGACAACAGGGATGATGTGGGTGGAGGTCCTACCAAGACACAGATAACTGAACCATATACACTTCTGCTCTCAAAATCCATTGCCAAAGAGTCAGAACCAACCCCTCGCTGACCACTGGGCTCCGAGGCTGCCAATCATGCAGAAACAGCCTGTAGGCCAGCAGCACAGCTCCTTGCAGACTAGACCACCAGTGCTTCAATTTCTGCAGGTATACAAAAATGGGAACATTGGGTAAGTCTGCTGAAAGAGTCCAGAGTACTGAGGAGCAATGTTGTCCGTCTGGAGACTAAGGTGCACCTGATCCAGGCCATGGTCTTTGCAATTACTTGCTATACATCAGAAAGCTACACAATGACTAGGGATGATAGGAGAATTGATGCCTTTGAGCTGTGGTTCTGGAGAAGAGTATTGAATGTAACATGGACTGATAGGGAAACAGGTTTGTCCTGGAGAGGGTGAAACTGGGCTGCTCTTTGGAGGTAAGGATTCTGAAGCTCCATCTGACCCACTTTCGGCATGCTGCAAGGAGGGATGGATGAGTCCTTGGAGAGGGACATCATGCTTGGGAGTGTGGAGGGACAGCGCAAGACAGAAAGAGCCTCAATGAGATGGACTGACTCAGTGACTGGGGTAATGGGAATGGGTGTGTAAGAGACAAAAAGGTTGGCTCAGGATGGAGCAAGGTTCAGAGCTGCTGTACACAGGGACGCTAGAAGTTGCAAGTGACTCAATGGCACATTAGCAATAACACGGGAGAAGGGAGGAAGATGATCTTCATTCTTAAGAAAACTCAGAGATGTTACAATCTTTTCTCTGACCTAGCTAGTGCAAAGGAGCCCTGGTGGTGCAGCAGCTTAAGTGTTGGGCTGCGATGTCCAGGGATAAGCAAAGGACACTTGTGGAAAGAAACGCCTTGTGTAGGTTCTGTGGGTCATGAAAACACATTCAAACACCTCCTCTCCGAGGCTTTCCAGCTGCCTCACCTAGTGCGGCAGGACACACAGGCCACTGTGAACAGCAGCTTCTTCCTCCCCATTCTGGAGGCTCCAAGTCTCCATGGACGCTGACTGCCAGCACCTCAAGTGTCACCCTGGTCCCAAAGATGACACACCGTCCGCACACAGCGTCCTGTGAAGTCATTACCTTTGGCTCCCACACTACACTGTACCATTATCGTGCAGTGAATGCCCTGGTCGGAGCCCCTTGCCTGGACGAAGAACTGAACCAGGTGGGGGACAAGAGAAGAGGGTTGTGGATGAAGTCCTCTGCATTTAGCCTGGTCACATCCTGCCCAAAGGAATGCTGGTGCCCTGGTTAAACACGCTGGGCAGGAAAGGTGAGGAGACGAGGGTGAAAGACAAGACAGGTTTATTAGAAAGGCAGTGCTCCGCAGAGGCAGGCAGGTCTTCCTCTGGAAGGAGCGCAGGGTAGGAACGTCCTGTGTTGACACAGCTGGTTTAAGTCTGGGCCAGCAGAGGTTGTGGGGGGTAGGTCCCAGTCCCTCGTTCTTGACTTTGCTCCTGGAGACAGCCTCTACTGCCCAAGTCAGGACCGTACAGCATCTAGGCCCAAGGTCCCTGGCTCTGCGCCACAGGGCCTGATCCCAGCCCCTTCACTTATCTCATGGCCCAAACTGGTTCTATGTCCACCCTGGCACTCCTTGAACCCAGCTTCTCCTCCTATCCTGCATGACGTCAGCCTGATTGCGACCTAACAACCTGGCCTTGCTTACAGAACATGGAGAATTCTGCCTAAACAAGACTACAGACTCAGGGGACAGGATTCCAACAGATACTTGTAGGGACATTTAAACCTCCATCACCCCATCTGTTGACAACCCCCCAATTCATCATCTTCCACATGCAAAAAACATGTAGTCCACCACATCATCATATCACCCAGGTAAGTCTCCATTTTTACCAACTTGTGAGTGTAACATTTCTGGGACATGTGAATGAAGCATGGGTGTGACGCCAGGCGTGCTCCGTCCTGGGGCACAGTCCTCAATCTGCTGCCCTGTGAAACCTAGTTTACAACGTACAGCTGCGAACAGGCACGGATGGAGCTTCACATCCTCAAAGGGAGAGGAAACTGGAGATTAAGGAGTCACAGATGCCAAGCATGTCCAAACTCACTAGCCCTTAAGAATCTGTTCTTTAAAAAGAGCATACCCGGGAGATGGCCGAGCCCTCCAGACCACAGGCCTCACCAGCCTCTGGTCTCCAGGCCTCACCTCACAAGCTCCCTGGGGCAGCTGTCCCGTTCCTTCATCTGGTCCACCTGAGTGCTGACCCCAGCCCCTCAGCCCCAGCTGGCTCTGTTCTCTGGTCAGCTGACACGGAATGGGGTCTCACTCAGAAACTGAGGTAGTGGCGTGAGGCTCTAAAGTCAGGAGGCTGGGGTTCCATCCTGTGACACCGAGACACAGATCCCAGAACGGCACGTGGAGTGGTGCCTCCTGAGGGGACAGGAGATGCCCATAGCTGTGTTTTCTGTCCAGAGACTTCAACAAGGCAGAGCCCGGTCCTTCGTTTTGTCTCTGTTCCTTTCCATCTAAGGCGACAGGATTTCTGCTGAGGTAGTTTAGTTCTGTCCGCCACGGGTCAAGTCTCTTTAAAAGTCTGTACAGCTATGCTTTGGGTGGAAGTTCCAGAACAAAGTTTCTTCATTTGCACAACGGGACACTCCAAGGCCGTACATCCAGGTTTCATTTTGCACAGTGTTGAGTTTTGGGTTTTTTTTTCACAGTTCATTTTTAACTCTACCTCTTTCCTCTGAAATTTTACTATAAGCAGTAAAGAGATAATATGCTGGACTTTGAAGATTTTGCTTAGAAAGCACTTCAAACATCCAAGTTCATCATTCACAAGTTCTAATTTCCACAAAACATTCAACAAAACTTAGGTAAGTGCATTGCTGCTTATTTTAAAAAGGCTCCTCCTCACTACAGTATCAAACAACATTCACCGTTTCTTTTCAAATCCTCAGCACAAGCAGATCTAACGTGGTTTCTGGCAACAATCGGTTTATGGTGATAGCTCCTTTCTCACAGGACCCATTTCTTTCTCTTCATATCACAAAGACCTTTCGCCTTTTACTGGGCCCACCCCAGAATTGTCATCAATGTCCTAATTCTACCCACAGTCTCTTAAAAGCGAAACAGGTTACCGTCAAGAGTATCAAAACTCCTCCAGCTTCTACTGATACCCAGTCCAAAGGCCTTCCCACGCTGCAGGTATCTACTATAGCAGCCCCCACCCCCCAACTTGTCATGGTCCCCAAGTGGCTGTTACATGCTGTGGAGCTGGAACTGACCCATAGCTGACCCTCCAGGGGGTTTTCAGAGGCAGTTAATCTCACAGGAGGACAGTGTCCACCTTTCCGTCTTGGAGCCGCTGGTGGATTCAAACCCACTGCCTTTGTGCTGGCAGTGCACTTCCTTACCACTAAGCCACCAGAGCTCCTTGGTCATGTAGCACAGCTACAAAAATAAACACGAGTGGGCTTGTCTTTGGGCTCCGAGCAGCTGCGGGACTGGCACGGCCATGGCAGGCGTACTAGCGCGGAAGGCGGCCGACTGTGTCCGCAGCACAGACTTCCGGACTCCCTCATGAGCACGCACTTCTGGAAGCCAGCCGCCACCTGGGCTCTCACCATCGCTGCCATCAATGACATGAAGTCGTCTGCAGAGATCACCAGTGGCCGGGTGATGTTCGCTCTCTGCTGTTACTCTGACATTTGTGAGATTCGCCTACAAGGTCCAGCCTTGAACCTGGCTCCTGCCTGCATGCTGTGCGACTGAGGAGGCCCAGCTCGTCCAGGGAAGCCAGCTCATCAGATATGAGCGGAGTAAAAAGGCAACCGCACAGCAGGGGGAGAGGGGGCCGCCCACTCTGGAGGGTCAGCGTTGTCCAAGCCAAGTCACAGAGGCAGTCACCCCGAAAAGAACAGACTGTGTGCTATGTCTATTCTAACCAGCTGATTTCTAGAAATAGCTGAGAGTGCCTGACCCCATTCTCTCTGCCTTATAATCAAAGACTAGCTCACTTATTTTCATAAATAATAGTACAAAATATGCAAGAAGTGGAATCTTTCAGCTAAACGGGGTGGTTTTAGCTGCATAACATGTATTACCTATCAGAATCCACTCACTGGGAAAGTAATAGGAAACGTCACTGCTAGAATCTCTGACTCCTCCATGATCATGAGACCACCAATAGTTTGCCAAATCCCTGAAGTCTTCTTCCCGACATCTGAGAAGGTGGTCTGAGTATTTCCACACCGTGTGTGTACTGAACTGCTGTTACTTACTGAACAGACGATGTCAATGTTCGCTAAAAAAATTTTAAAAATAAACAGAAGTTGTCTGAAAGAACAGAAAATCATGTTCTCCCTGTTCAGAGGCTGGATGTCCAGATCAGGGTCTCTCTGCATCTGTTACTTCCATTCTGCAGCCCTGAGTTTACCTTCAATCTTTAAAGACAACACTTAGATGGCATCTTTCTGTGTTTGTGCCAAAATAATTCCCTGGAATAACCTAGTCCAAGAGCACCATCATCTCCAATGGTAGATTTCATCACCACGTGGCAGGTGCCTGAGGCAGCGCCTACTGTCAGATTCCCAGACAGGTACAAGGACAAAGACTGAAAACACAACTACTTCAGGTGATACTTTTGGAAGGACTGTGCCCAATTACATTCAATCTCTGCCAACCTTTACTCACAAGGACAATGGCACAGAGACACTGGCCAGGAGGAGGGAGGAAGGCCGTCTACACTGGGATAGCAGAAGGGAATGAGGCAAGTGACCGCCAGCGTTTCCCACCAAGCACCCCGTCTCAGTAAGGGCTCGCTTACACAACCACCACCTCGTAGGGCTTCTCCCCGCACTGCGTCCGCCGGTGCGTGTGCAGCGAGGTGGGCCAGACGAAGGCCTTCCCGCACTGCTCGCAGGCGTAGGGCTTCTCGCCCGTGTGCGTGCTCATGTGCGTCCGCAGGGATAGGGCCCACTTGAAGGTCTTCCCGCACTGCTCGCACGCGAACGGCTTGTCCCCACTGTGCATGCGGGAGTGCTTCAGCAGCGACGACGACCACTTGAAGGCCTTCCCGCACTCCTTGCAGGCGTAGTGCTTCTCGCCCGTGTGCATGCGCACGTGCTCCCGCAGGTGGGAGATCTGGCTGAAGGTCTTGCCGCACTGCTTGCAGGCGTATGGCTTCTCCCCAGTGTGCGTGGTCATGTGCGTACACAGGGAGATGGGCCACTTGAAGGCCTTCCCACACTGGCCGCACTGGTAGGGCGCCTCGCCCGTGTGCACCCTCACGTGCCGCTGGAAGGAGATGGCCCAGCTGAAGGTCTTGCCGCACTGCTCGCACTCGTAGGGCTTCTCCCCGCACTGCGTCCGCCGGTGCGTGCACAGCGAGGTGGGCCAGATGAAGGCCTTGCCGCACTGCTTGCAGGCATAGGGCTTCTCCCCCGTGTGCGTGCTCATGTGCGTGCGCAGGGACAGGGGCCACTTGAAGGTCTTCCCGCACTGCTCGCAGGCGTACGGCTTCTCCCCCGTGTGCGTGCTCATGTGTGTCTGCAGTGACAGGGGCCACTTGAAGGCCTTCCCACACTGCTCGCACGTGAACGGCTTCTCCTTGCTGTGGGTCCTCTCGTGCCGCCGGTAGGAGTGCAGGTAACTGAAAGACTTCCCGCACAACTCACAGGCGTAGGGCTTCTCCCCACTGTGACTTCTCACGTGCGTCCTGAGGTAGGAGGGACAGCTGAAGGCCTTGCCACATTCCCCGCACCGATGTGGCTTCTGGCCGGGGTGGCCCGGGGCAAGCATCCTAAGGCCGGGGCGACGCGTGAAGGCTTGTCTACACTCGCTGCTGTCCTTTGGATCCACCGGGGCCCGCGTCTGCCACTGCAGACAACTCTCTGGGATCTGCAGGGAGGAGTCCTCGCCCTGGTTGTGTTCTGAAAGCTCACAGGGTCTTTCCAAGACATGACGGCTGTCAAAACGAGAAAAACGTTATTAGTGATGCACCTGTCACTTGAATATTCAGCAACAACTCCTGGGATTACATGTGTACAATTCTCAGTGAGGGTTTCCTGCCTGAGCCAATGGACTGAGGGCTGAGAAAATCCAGCATCCTGGGGAGAAAGGCTGGAGCACAGCCGTCCTTAAAACAGCTTGTTGCCATGGTCACCTTAATCATCATTCCTGATGGGATATGATGTCGAACACTTGGTGTGAACTCCAGTCCAGTGAAAACGTTCCTGGGAAGACGTATAGTAAATGCTCGGCCAGGCGGGGAGTGCGGGCTCATGTCCATCTGCTCTCAGGCCATGACACTCTGAGAACCCCTCCTGAGACCCACTCTGCTCCTGCACAGCTCACCTCTCGTCCCTCCCGTGACCCCCGAGAACCCCTCCTGAGACCC